ATACTATATTCAATAATTCTGATCAATTACTCCTTAAAATCAAAAATGACGCCAAATACAATATTTATATTACTTTTAATATTTCTTCACAAAATTTTTTAAAAACCTTTTATATTCCTTCTTTTAAAACTTACTGCACAACTTTCGATATATGGTTCTTAAAATTTTTTAATTCATACAAGCAACAATTCATGCATATTAACTAACAAAAAGTTTACAACTTTATTAAACATCAAATTATTATCTATCTTTCTAATAAACTTAAAAAACTACTTCCAAACCCCTACCAATTTTCTACAGTTAATTTATTACAAGAAAGAACAAAGGCTTCAATTAAGGTATCACTATATCATATCTATACCTATACAAGCAACACATCCAATATTCTCCCTAATGATACTCCTCATACTTTTAAAATTTTAACTTCTTTTTACTTTCATAACTCATTCAAAACTCATATCTATCCCTATTTAAATTTCGCTATTTTTCAGCCAAACCAATTTTTAACTGCTACTTTTTTAAAACCCTTTCCATTTGAGTCTCTTAAAAAATTAGCTAACTCAGCAGAACAACAATTTATACAACTTAACAACACTTCTACAAATCTCAAATATAAATCTTTTTTTACTATACTTACTTAAAATACTATTTAATAGCTGCTGCTAAAAATAACAATATTAACTCTAGTCTTAAAAATATTCTTCAAATACTTTCATTAAAACAACCAACCCACATATTTTTGCTAAAATTATATCCTATTTTGATATTATACAATTCTAATTTCTCAAATTAAATACAAATATCACCAATTTTATCTCTCACAAGCATTACAATATATTTCTAAAAAACTTCAAACTCCTAAATTTCTACTGATCTCTTCTTTCCTTAATAGAAAATACCAGATATTGCTTTTAAAGATCTTTTTAGTCCAAGTAACAAAAACTCTTCATCTACTTTATCTACTTAAATACTTTCCTAAAAAATACCAAATTCTTTTTGAACAACTCATCTATCACTACTATTATTATTTACAATTTTATATTATCTACTTATTATTTAATCTTACTTTATACAAAATTATAATCCCAATATTTATCTCTACAATACTTATTCTATAACTATATAACTATCACAATCGATCATAATATACTATTATTTAACTTTTTTTTACAATAACTTTATTTTAAATACTTATTTATTTACATTAATATATCCATTATATAATTAGCTTTTTTACATATTTATACTATCGATTACCCTACTCTTTAACTATATTTTATAGTTTTAGTAATATATTTATGCAATTTAAATATATATCTAGATCTGTATAAATATGACAAATCCAGATGAGCCATGGCTTGTCTAGTCGGTTTATATCATTCTAGGTGAACTATAGCTACTCTGGTAGGTTTAGGTCACAGATAAAGTAGTCTGAGCTTCTATTCTTGCTATCTTTTAGATATGGAGTTTATATGTAATTTCTTTCTGTGAAGAAGTTTAATTAAATTTCAATAAAGTTAGAAGCATGACTTCATCTTGAATATTAAAAAAAAAAAAAATTGATTTTCTAAAGATCTTTTTTTTTGTCAATTTTGTCCCTTTTTGTAGCACCTAGCCCATATTTTAATAAATTAAATTTTACTATATAAATTCTTTATTTTTTCAAAACAGAATAATTTAACAATAAAAAAATTTTGACCCAAATTAGTTAATTTATTAAATTTAAGCATTATTAAAAATAATTATATTATAGTTTAAAAGAATTTAATTTATTTGTATTAGATCATAATTTTATTAAAAATTTTTGATATTTTATTTTAGTGAATGTATTCGAATAATTTAAAATTCTTTAAGAGTATATTTTAATGTAGGCATAAATAAAATGAGGCTAGTATGACAAATATTAAAATTAACTTGCATTAATTAAATAAACTAAAATTTTATATTAATAAACTTTGATTATATAGAAACTTTAATTACATAGAATAAAGCTTCAAAGAAATTATAAAGTATAAAAATTATAAATAAGTAAAATTTTTTTCTTTTCATAAATATTTTTTTCAAATTCACAAATCTTCCTTCAAATTTTTCTTTTTCAATTTGCATAAATCTTTAAACTATTCATAAAAATTCGAATTTTGCTTAATCATTTATAACCTATTTCATTTTTTACGCTTTCATTCTTATCTTTATATTTATAATTCTGCAATTTACTTTAATTATAATTTATTCACACTTTACTTATTTTATTAATTTTGTTATAATTCTTATATATTCATTTTATTCGCATTTATTCTAATTACTTTTAATCCTAAGAAACTATGCCTAAATATGCAAAATGAGTTCAAAAACTAGAAATACTTTTGCTAGTATTATTACTGGTACTGCTCCATGTGTAATAGCTGCTACTGCTCTGCATGTAATAGCTGCTACTGCTTTGCGTGTAATAGCTGCTACTCTAGCTATGAATCAAGAACTACAGAAATTATCAAAGTTCCTGCAGCAAAAGAAAGTATTAGACACGAAAGTGATAGTATTAGAGTATCTGAAAATATAATATCTATTATTTTGAATAAGTTAGATCATCTAACTGAAAAGGTTAATAGAATGGAAAGACGATTAGATTCAATTGAAGATAAAATTTCTGAAAGTTACAACTTTGTTAATGAATTTAACTTTATTAAAGTATTTTTGTATATTTTTTAAATAATTAATTTATAATAATAATTATAAGATTACTAATTATATCTGGATAATATATTATATTATAAAATAATTTTAATAAATAGTAAACAGTAAAAGAAACAGCTAAGGTTTTAATTGATTCTTCGATTTATCTATACAAAGAAGAATTAATAGAGGTGACTGAAGACTATTTATCTGAAATTCATAGTGAATTTTATGAAAATATATCAGATAAGACCTGGAAAACTTATTATAAAAGGATATTGAAAGACCTGTAAATTTTTTTTAATTTTTAAATAATTTTAATATTCTAAATAATTCGAATATATTAGTAATACAGGCTGATGCCAAATGCTTGGGCTGATCTGGCTGACAAAATTACTCAAGCTAGTCGACCAGGCCGACCATATTATTAAAAAATTTTTAGTCAAACCAAAATCACAAAACAGTTATATAGAATGATCTCCTATCGGTAATTTCAGTACAAATTGCCATATCTCCAATAATTCTTGACAACCATGCTCTTGTCTTATGTTGGTTGATTGCTTCTATCTCAAAATCCAAAAAATAGTTTATCCCTGGTAATTTTGATCAATCAAAATTTAGATCAGATATCAAAACAAATGTGTTTTGTATTTTCCAAGTAAAAAAGTTATGTGTAAAATGAAAACCAAGAAAACCATGTTATAGTTAAAGTTAAGATTAAAACAATATGCTGTCTATTAGTAAAATGTCACAAGGAACATTTTTAAAATTTTGTAAAAAAGTGTTTTTGTTACGATTTTTACATTATACCTAATCCTGAAATTCGATTGGTCAAAATAACAGGCATGAACAATTTTTTGTGGAAGAGCTAGGGTGTCTTTCTTTTTTTTGATTCTGACTTAATAATGGCTGAATCTATGATTAATTCCAATTTAATTTGAATAACTTAGCCAAAAGTTCTGGCAATTTACATCAATTATCTTAGTAACTTACTATTTAAAACCTAATTTATCTTAGTTGGCCCGCCTGCCCTGTGAAGGTGTGGGTTGACCCTCGACCCGCCTGCCTGCCCAGCCGATGGGCCAGGATCAGCCTGTATCACTAGAATATATTCAAATTATTTATAATTAATTTATCAAATTTCAATTATTTAAAATTTTAATCATTTAATTTAATAATTTTTTAGCTTTTAAGACAATTTAGAACTATGAGAAGTGTTTTAACTACTAAAATCAAAGATACAATGTTTGCTATATTTGGAATAGGCCAATTGGATTCAATCAATACAAATTTTTTCCCTTCAGAAGTTGCTATATGGAAAGCTTCTATAAAGACTAAAAATTGTTATAGAAAGCTTTTCACAAAAATAGATCCAAGTAATCCCAACTCAGAAACATATATGGAAAAATTTTAGCAAAACTTTGGCCCAGAGATCTTTCTTCTAATAATAAGGTAGTATATGCAATTAGTGTTTGTGAAATAATACTTAGTCAGCATTATGATAAAATTACACTCTGAACAGTTGGGTAAAAGTAGGCTTAAAAAAAATTTAGTAAGTAAATAATAAAATTTATAAAGTATTTAAAGTAATTCGAAATAATTCTAATAAATTAAAAAATATATAGTAATTCTAAATTTAATACTAAATTATACATAATACTAACACTTATACTAAATAGAGAAAAATAAAAAATAATTAGCAATTTATTCTACCAACTAGTGATGACATAACTAGCTCAGAAGAGGAAGTTAAGGAAGGATGTACTTTTTTTTAAATTTATTTTTTAATACATAATATTAATTTTTTATAGCCAAGAAGCAGGAAAAGAAAGCGCAGAAGGATACAATCACCTGAACAGATAAATATAATTAAAAAATTAAATTATTATAATGAACTAGTATTATTATTATAAAAATTATATTAATAAAATTTTAATATTTTAATATTTAGAGATCTAAAATATCAAGAAGTACTCAAGTGATAACTAGAGTAGCTTCAGTTAGTTCAAAAGGAATTCTTGATACTCTACAATCTTGCCGTATTTCTGGTCAATCTCAAGATGATCTACAAGAGGAGGGTTCTACTATGCATAGACCTGCAATTAGGTTTTCCAGAAGTATGCATAGAGTTTCTGGAACTTCATATAGATTTACTGAAACTTAAGATCCTGTAGTAATAGAAGAAGAATTTGAAACATAAATTATTTTATATTTTATATTTTTTTTATTTTAATATATTTTTAATTTTTTTATTTTAATCAATAATA